CCACCCAGGTGCCCCTGAAGTTTATTTCTTAGTAAACTTTTCTGTAGGGGTCTGGGTGGGGGAGGGAATTCTTTGTATATTTGAAACTGTTGTTATTTTGCCCTCAGTGTTGGGTGATAATTTATTTGGGTATAAAATTCTAGTGAACATTTATTTTCCCAAAGCACAGTGATGAAGGTACTCCATTGTTTTCTGGCACTGGTTGTTGCTGGTAAAAATTCTACTGTCAGACTGTTTCATTCCTTTGTGGTCAGTCTGCCTTTCTCTTGATAGCATTTAAGATTTGTGTTTGTTTTATTTTGGTGTTTAGCAGTTTCACCAGAACTTTCTAGATGTTAGTGTACTTTCTGTTGAGGACTGGTGTGCTCTCTTTAATTCTGAAAAATTATCAATGATTTTCTCTTCAAATAATGTTTCTTTGTTATCGACTACATTCTCTTTTCTGGAACCGCCATTAGGTCAGTGAGGAAGCCTCTTCATCTATATCCTGAAATGTGATTAAAAAATTCTTTTTGCCTCTGTGTTGCATCCTGGTGAATTCCTTAATCCAATCCTTCTGTTTGCCAGTCCTCTAAATAAGTTGTCCAGTCCAGAGTTTTTCCCATCTTCAAGTCTTAAGTCCTGTTAAGTTTTAGAATTTCAATTATATTTTTAATTTCTAAGGTTACTAATTTCCTTTCTGATTTTAATAACTAATTTTTCCAGTTTTATTGAAGTATAATTTGCATATTACAAAATTCATCTATTTAAGTGTATGATTCAACATTTTGGGGTAAATGTTCAGAGTTATTACATTATAACCATAATCCAGGTTTCAGGACATTTCTATCCCCAAAGAAACCTATCCTAGGTACCCATTTGTAGTCAGTCCCCATTCCCACGCCAACACCAGGCAACCATTAATCTACTTTCTGTCTCTATAAATCTGTCTTTTCCAGACACTTCAACTCAATGAATTGATATAATATATGGTATTTCCATCTGGTACTTTTCACTTAGTTGCTTAATCTTAGCAGAATGTTTCTGAGGTTCATCCATGTTGTAGCATATGTCAGTCATTCATTCCTTTCTATTGCTCAGTAGTATCCCATTGATGGATATGCACTTTCTGTGGCAGACATTTGGGTCATTTCCACTTTGGAGCTATTGTAAATAATGTTGCTACAAACATTACATTCCTATGCAAGTCTTCGTGTGGACACACATTTTCATTACAATTGGGTAGATACCTGGGAATAGAATTGTTGGATTGTATGTTATTTTTTTAAAAGATTTTATTTATTTATTTGAGAGAGAAAGAGAGAGCACAAGCAGGGGGGTGGGGAGGGGCAGAGGGACAAGTAGGCTCCCCACTGAGCAGAGAGCCTGACACGGGGCTTGATCCCAGGACCCCAGGATCATGACCTGAGCCAAAGACAGACACTTAACTCGCCACCCAGGTGCCCCTGGATTGTATGTTATATTTATGTTTAACTTCTGAAGAAACTGCCAAACTATTTTCCAAAGTGACTGTCATCTTACATTGTTCAGCCTACTTTTCCAGGAAAACCCAATCCAACCCCATGCTCCCAGTTCTCGGGTTACAGTGAAGTACATTACTTACTCCATGGTTCACTTATTTCCCTTCATTTTTCTCTTGATGTTTACTCTCCTGAAATGTCTTCATCTCTAAAAGCTGAGTCCTACTTATCTATTAAGTCTCACTTCGCCCAAGAAAAGCCTTTGAAAAACCCTGCCTTTGACATTAACCATGTATTCATTAATTATTAATTGTGCATTCATTATTTTTTTCTTACATCTGTTTTTCCAGAAGTTCGTACAATGCCTGGCACATGGTAGATGCTCAGTAAGCTTGTTAAATTTAAAGTTTCCTCCCACAGATTTGGTTAACATTTCTTTCATGATATTTATCCATCTGATGTCATAGTTGATTTGTATATAGTATGTCCCTTAAAAATCATAAACTCTAATTTATTCACAGTACTTTGCACCTGGTAGACATTCAATATGTGTTAGGGTAATAAATATTCATTCACACGGTTGTTCAGAGTCCAAGGTACACATTAAAATCACCTGGGGAGCTTTTTTTTTTTT